ATTATAGCTCCAGACTATTTCATTCTATTCTATTATTATCTTAAAGAGTAGATCTGTTTGATGTTATAAGCGCTATTATTTCTCCTTTTAAATTTGCACAACACTAAATTTAGAATGACCCCCTATGGGACAAATATAGAATTTTATTTCATTTTGGCAACTCCGAAAATTACTTAATAATTTTCCCATTTTGCTTTTTTAGGCTGCCCTTTCTATTATTTATTTGTTCTTGTAAATATATGTTTTACACTTCTTTCTAATGATTTAGAAGGTTAAGGACCATGACCACCTATGACAATACAATACTCCCCTCTGTTGGTCGTGGTCCAAAGTATAAAACATGCATCTGTGTGTGTGTAGATTACTGTTCCAATCCTGTTGTTCCTCCCGGATCGTCCTCAATTCATATTGTGGGCTTTGGTGCCAAAGTAGAGGCTCATTTCCTTATGATCCATACTACTGTGTTATCCCTGAAGCAGGTGCAGTTTATCTTTCATCTGAAAAAGAAACATTAGAACACAAGAAACGCCCACTTCCCTCTCTTCGCATGGTGCAGCCTGTCAATCAATCTAATTGGGCAAAACATAACTGCATTGACAGACGGTGTGTGACATCAGGGCAGAGGCTGTAGCCAAATACAGACTTAACAATATGTATGTTTCTAATTTTATACTCCCCTAAATGTGAATTACAAACCAAAGTTGTCCTCCGCCCAATGACCGCTCACTGCGGTTGGACCGAATCCCTGTCCGGACAAACAGCAGAGGGAGGGGCTCCCAGTACCTTCAGCAAGGTATTCATCTCAGAGTACTTTCTCAGAGTACTTTCTCAGAGTACTCATCCCAGAGTACTCTCACTTTTACACCTGTTCAATAAAGCTTGTCATCTTTGAATCTCTAGTACTTGCACCGTATGCTGTTGACAAAAAATAATTATTCCATGATCACATTAAAACATTACAGAAAACTTTTGTTATTCCATTCTCCGTTCAGCACTCCTCGTTCACTCCCCAACACACTCACAACACACTCACAACACCCCACGTTAGTATTGGTCCAGTTTGTTAAGGTCAACGTAGTGTATTGGACATGACGCACAAACATATAACATACACAAACATATAACATACACAAACATATAACATACACAAACATATAACATACACAAGAGGCCTGTAATTTTAACTTTGTTATATTTTTCCATGTCCAATTACAATTGTCTCATGAGCTATTTTATAGTTGCAACTTTCAGAGCCTGCAGAACATGCAAAGCTTTGAGAGATTTTTCCTAAAAGGATCCATTTCAAACTTTAGTGTTTAAACCACGTGGTCTTTACTCGGGCTTGTCACAAACTGTGTCCCCTATATTTTTAATGAGCTCTTGTTACTAAAAAAAACTCATGCACGTGCAATAAATGTTTTTCCCTTTTTTTTTTTTAAAGCCAGTTCGGATTCCTTAAAAATGTAAATTAGTTTCAAACTTTAATACTTCACCTTTGTTTCACGTTCATGTGGAGAAAAGACCATTGTTTTATGTGTGTGTACTTGCGCCAATCATGTCTCAGATAAACTGCCAACAGTTATATCAAAGACATAATTGTCCTAATTGTTTCTAATTTAGCTATTTGGAAGAGAAACATGTCATAAAAGATTTCAAAAATGTCCCTACATCTTTGTTTTCAACCAATGAACAGTGTTGCATCTATGTGTTATCATAAATGATCCAATATCACCTTTAGCCAAAATTCAGAAATGCTTTAAATCATTTTTCAAACTTAATTGTCTGAAACAAACCATTTTGTACTAAATGCAACGTCCATTAAAAGCTGCAGTTCTCTTTCTAGCACCAGTTTCATCTGTGAATGTGATTGTTCTTAAATGAAAACGCAGCCACGGTTCAAAGTTAAAACACTGCTTTAAATATCCGTATTACCAAGATCATGCAGTCAAAATCAATAATTCTAAACTTTTAATCTCCGCGTCTATAACTTTAAATAATACTAGTTTTTTCAATAATAGAGCTCCTCTACTTTAAATATACTGTTGATATTAGGTGTGTCTGAGTATGTGGAAATGAATAACTAAAGTAGTGATGTGGTGTGGTAATGAGGGGTATCTCAGTAAGTCTTTCTTTAATCTCTATCCATCTTAGTTGGGGGTTATATGGGTGGTGGGATGGTTTGGGGAGAATAGTGAGGGGGGATATAATTGTTTATATGTAGATGGAAAAAGTTTAGTGGGGTATGGAGGGGGTGGGTTGGGGTTTATTGGGAGGAATTTTTGGTTAATAATATGGAGGTTTATTGATTAAGAAAATGAGTTGTAAAGGGGTGAAGGGTGATAGGATGTATATTGGTAAAGGGTGGGATGTGGTTGTTTTTGAAGAAAAGAGAGGTGGAGAAAAAAGAGGATTGGGAGTTTGGAGATCACTTAGTGGTGTGACGGTGTACGCGAACAGACTATGTAAAGAATATGTGTGTTGAATGGTGTATCTTGATTAGATTGTCTGTGAAGGAAGGTAATACGACCATGAATGACAATAGAAAGTTTATAACAGGATCGTACGGTTAATGTGTTAGTGAGGTGTAGGTGTGATGATGGGAGAAGATTATGAGATGTTGTGTTTTTTTATGGTGGTTGGAGAGATATAATTTATATAGTGTGATTATTATGAATGTAGGGTGTTGTATATAGGATGGGGGGTTGAGTAGGGGTGGAAAATATATTATATAGGGAATGGGGGGGTGAGTAGGGGTGGAAATAATGTTTAAGGGATGGGGGGGTGAGTAGGGTTGTGGAAATATATTTAATGGTATGAGGTTTGGTAGGAGGGGGGTTGATGGGAGTTTATTGTTGTTTGGGGTGGGGGTTGGGGTGTGGTGGGTTGGGTGTGGGTATATGGGGTATGGGGGGTGGGTGTGGGGTATTTTGTAGGGGGTTTGGTTGGTGGGTTTTAAGTGGATGGGGGGTGGTGTATATTTGAGGGTTTGGTTTATTGTTTTGATGTAATGTGTGGGGTTATTTTAGATGTAAAGTTTTTTGTAGATAGAGGGGGTGTTGAGAATAGACTATATCTGTATAGGTGGATAGGCCGTTGAGATCCAAACTCACACACTCAGTCTAGTTTTAATATCTATCAAAAAATTCAAAGGTGGGATAGGTAAGGTATTGAGAGAGATAATACTTAGTCTGTGTGTTGGAGTGGATACTATAGGCCTTTAAAACTAGACTGTGTGTTGGAGTGGTTCTTATAAAGCAAGAACAAATAAAGTTTGTGTTGTTGTTTAAATAGATGGTCGGAGTTGCGATTACGTTTTTACAGAGTTGAGTATACGCACTACCCATGCTGAATTAGGATGTAAAGAATAATGTCAATTATTTTGTAACATCTAAAATCACAAAAGTCCAAATAAGTCGTACAAGACAATACAATACTATACAATAAAATACAATTTTTTCTGTATAGGCCCTGAATCACAACCTAAGTCATCTCAGATGTCCCTGGTATGTGTGGACTAAAAGTAGCTAAAAACCTGACAGTGGTGGTATGTGTGGGACTAAATGTAGCTAAAAAAAAAACCTGACGTGTGGTATGTGTGGGACTAAAAGTATCTTAAACCTGAACAGTGTGTGTATGTGTGGACTAAAAGTAAGCTATAGCTAAAAACCTGACAGTGTGTATGTGTGGGACTGAAATAGCGAAAAACCTGACAGTGTGAATGTTTGTGGGACTAAAAGTAGCTAAACACCTGACAGTGTGTTATGTGTGGGACTGACAAGTAGCTAAAACCTGACTGTGTTATGCTGGGACGTGTTTGTACTTGAAAACCTGACAGTGTATGCGTGGTGACTAAAAGTACTACAAAAACCCTGCAGTGTGTATGTGTGGATAAAGTAGCTAAAAACCTGACAGGGTGTATGTGATGGGACTAAAAGTAGCTATAAACCTGACGGTGTGTATGTGTGGGACTGAAAGTGCTAAAAAACCGACAGTGTGTTATGTGTTGGACTGAAAGTAAGCTAAAAACCTGACAGTGTGTAGCTTGGGAGGACTAAAAGTAGCTAAAAAACATGACAGTGTGTATGTGTGGGACTGAAAGTAGCTAAAAACCTGACAGTGTGTATGCGTGGACCTAAAAGTACTAAAAACCTTACAGTTTGTAGCGTGGGACTAAAAGTAGCTAAAAACCTGCAGTGTGTATGTGTGTGACAAAAAGTGTATAAAAACCTGACAGTGTGATGTTTGGGACTAAAAAGTAGCTAAAAACCTGACAGTGTGTATGTTTGTGACTAAAAGTAGCTAAAAAACCTACAGTTGTGTAACTGTGTGGGGACAAAAAGTACTAAAACCTGACATGGTGTATGTGTGGTACTGAAAGTAGCTAAAACCTGACAGTGGTGTATGTGGGACTAAAAGTAGCTAAAAACCTAATGTGTGTATGTGTGGGAACTGAAAGTAGCTAAAAACCTATAGTTGTGTAAGAGTGGGGACTAAAAGTAGCTAAAAAAACCCTTACATTGTGTAATGTGGTACTGAAAGTAGCTAAAAACCTGATAGTGTGTAAGTGTGTGACTAAAAGTAGCTAAAAACTGACAGTGTGTATGCGTGGGGAACTAAAAGTAGCTTAAAACAACCTGACAGTGTGTAAGTTTGGGACTAAAAGTAGCAAAAACCTACAGTGTGTATGTGTGGGACTAAAAGTAGCTAAAAACCTGACAGTGTGGTATGTGTTGGACTAAAATTAGCTAAAAACCTACAGTGTGTAAGGGTGTGGACTAAAATTATCTAAAAACAAACCTACATTGTGTAAGTATTCCGGCATCACCAGTATAGCAATTAACCTTATAAGATTTATCCCAGTAGTATAGTAACAATCTGGTGTGGGACATTGTTTTGTGAACTCTGATTTTTGACGTGATATTTACTGTACAGGACCCTCCAAGCGTGGCCATGCCCTGATTTTTTTTGCTGCTGAAACCCTACAGAAATGCGGTCCCACAATGCCATGTCCTGTTCTTTTGGTCCCACGAGAGTGGTTGGGGGGGGGGTGGGGGAAAGACAAGTATGTGTGTCTGTGTCGTGGTGTTGTCCTGTTTGTCTGGTGTGTCTGTGTGGTCCTGTTTGTCTGTGTGTCTGTGTTTGTGTCTGACCATCGAGAGCAGCGATGTAACCTGACGAGACCGCGATACTACCATCAGCAGACAGACCATTGGAACCAGAAACCCAGGGGCTCAAAGGTGAAACTACACACACACACACAGTACACACACACGACATACAGACAACACAAATACACACACATTGTTTAAACCATAGATTTGACGACCGTAAAACCACTCGTTTGCAGTTGTGTAGTGTCCTGCAGTGCTTCAGCTCAAACATCCACAGGGAGAATAAAACACATGCAGAACCCCTCCCTCCTGGCTCCCAGCCAGCATCCTCCCTTTCTGGCTCCTGGCAGAGGCCCCAGTGGATCAGTTAAACCCTGTCTCTGTAGGAAGGTGGCGTTTGCAGATGCACCAAGGCAATTTTTATTTGTATAGAACTGTTCTAAACAGGTGCTGACCAAAACACAAGGAATTAACATCATAAATAACTAAAAAGAGTGAAGGTAAAATCCCTCGATTGTAGCACGATTAAAAAAGGATATTTTCACATGTTCAGAAGAATGTTCCTGAAATGTTCCTCCGCATTTGTATTGATGGCTGCACTCACCATCGAAGTCCGTTGTAGTCTTTTTGGGCCTCGTCTCCCAGAATACAGAAAAACCATGAGTGACGAAAAGGCCCAGTGAGCAAGCCACACCAAGTCCTTCTACCTGAACCACACATATATTACACATCATCACAGATACCGACACATCCACATATACACGTACACACAACTCATATATATACACACATGCCACACAGATAACATGCACACACACACATATATACACACACATGCACACACAGTAAAACATTCACACAGCACACATATATACCACACACATTGCACACACAGTAAACATGCACACCACCAATAGACATGCCATACACAAATGTATACACACACATGCAAGCACAGTACACAATGCACACACCCACACACATATATACACACACATGCACACTCCGTAAACATACACACACATCATACACTAACACACACACACACACCACAAATATCAATATGATACACTTACACCACCATAGACGATACACACACAAACATAGAAACACATACGCAAGACACAGACACAGACATACACACACACACAAGTTACCATGGAGACAGAGAATGGTCATTACCCTGAAGAATGCAGGCTCCTTTACTGCTGTCATTTTATGTTTTCTACGATGTATGAAGGACTTTTTGAGAAAATCCCACTGAATATCAGTGATTCTCTGCTGCGGGCGGGCGGTCCTCACAACATCGTTATGAAACTCGTCACATAAGCTATAGCTGGTGAACAGGTCGTGGTGGAGCAGGACACACAAAAGTCAACACAAATCCAATGGTCCAAGTGTGTACTGCCACGAGAACCGAAACAACATCTTGTTTTTCTTCTCAAAGCTTTTGATCATCCCCGCACATCAGATCAGAGAGGTCCCAACTGAGAACACACAGGGCTGTAGACCCAGGACTAAGGATTGTAGACCCAGGACACCCAGGACTGAGGCTTGTAGACCCTGGACTACCCATACCTGAGCTTGTTAACCCAGGACGAGGCTAGTAGGACCAAGGACTACCCAGGCTGATGCTTGTAGACCCAGACTGAGGCTGTATGACTGTTGTATATTTTAACTTGCAGATTGAATATTGGCTGACCCTGATTGAACTTCTTTTCCTAACGCAAAAAGACCTGGTTTCCCCTGTTCCTTTGTTAGTCCCAAAGTGCATGTGGTGGTTAATGATAGGAAATCTGGGGGGGGATTCTGCTAATACCTGAAAGGAGGGGACCCAGATAGCCTTCTGCCTTATCTCAAGAAGTAATAACATTTGGGGATGGTAGTGTGTGTGAATGATTCTGTTTAAGGTACTGCAGAACCAGAAAGGGGACATGATGGAAGAGGCCGGACCCAAGTCCTGCCTGATGACGACCACGCCACGCCCCCTGCTTCCTGAACATGGACTGATAATGCTCTGGCTTGAGAGGACACTAGGAGAATGAGCCAGGGCGAGCCCGGGAGCATGCATAGTTTTAGGAGCCCTCTTTGTTGGAAATTTCTGTATCTGGATTGTAAAGATAATTAATAAGTTGTTAAAACTTGGAGAACTGTTGTCATGGCCGTCTGCATCCAACTCGAACACGTCAGTCAAGGATTATTGACTATCATTTGGTGACCCTGACGTGGTATGTGCAGGGGAAAGACAGAGATGAAGCTCAAATATTAGACTGGGTCCGTGGGCCGGGAGAATTCTCCTCTTCTCTTCCTCTCTTCTCTTCGAAAGAGGTACGCGGATCGTTACTTTTTGAAAATCCACATTGTTTTAAAGGGAATAAGAGCGAGAATTCGGCTCGACGGACTGCAGCGTGGCCAGGCGACCGTCCCCCGTGACGGGGCCGTTCTAAAATCGGGACGCGATGAACAATAGTCAGGTTTTAGTAGACGTTTTAACCTTGGGGTAAGCATTGGTCCCCTCCTTAATAAACAGAAGCAGATGATGAAAATAGCCACAGGGGTATAAGTGCAAAAGATCACAACTGTTAGATAAATATGATTTGAGAAGTAGGGATAGTTATGGACATAAGTGATAGTATACTAAAACCAACTATATCCCCCGGTGGCGGTGAAAAGGGCACAATTAATTTAAAACAGAAGAAAAGCCCAAGTATTTTAAAATGTGGAAACTGAAAAATAAATGATCTGTTTAATGAGAAAAAGATGAGCCACATTAGGCTGTAGTATAACGAGTTTCATGTGAAGAAAATGATCAGTTTTATGGGAAAGTTTTTCCTCTTATTCTTATGTATTGTTTAATAGTCACAGAGAATACAAAAAAAAAAGAGATTCCTGCTGGGACTTTACTCATTGTAAGTACAAATAGTAATGTTTTCCATTATTTTTACTGACAGTATTTAGGATCAAAATGTAAAGTGTCGTTAGAGGAGAAAAACTTTTACCACTAAACAGATTTAGAACCTTGTTCACGAGAAAAACGAGAAAGTATTTTGACCTCGCATGCTTCCTTTGTTCGGGAGGCGTCCCCTCCTCCTCCCTCGTTTCTGTCCTCTCTCTCTCCCCTCTCTCTCCTCTCTCTCGCTCTAGTGAAGAAAGAATTTTTTGTAGAAAATTACATTTATACACACGATAGATGTACTGGACTGGAGTCATAGAGATCACAGAACATTTAGTTAGATTTATAAATAGCATTATTTTATTTTTTATCTCCAAGGCGTCTAGACAAGTAAGTTTTTTTTTCCCTACATTTTGGTGATATAAAAGTTAGAATGATCTTAGAGAGCATAATACTTTTGGAAAAATAGGGCTATAGGATAGTATGTTGAATGCATATTATATTGGTTTTTGCAGAATTAATGTTATTAAAATGTTAATAGTATTATTTAATAGTTATTATTTTTGAATTGTTAATTAATTCATTGGTATTGGTATGGTAAGTAACACACTGTTTTTTTCTGTTTGTCTGTTTTTTTCGAGAAAAACTTCAGTCTGTTTCATTTGGCCAAAAAATCGTCCCTGCCACAAAACCACAACCGAGCACTTCTCATCATCATCAGCGTCTCCCCCTAACCCTGCGGGTCGCAGGGGGCAGCATCGGCTGCAAGCAGCTAACAGGAACTCCTCGAATAAGACTCCTCCTGCCTGTGAGGAGCAAAGAAAAGAACCGCAGGACTTTTTTCACCAATGAGTGTTGTCCATCCCACCGAAAAGAAGTGGCGGTAATGCCGAAGAATAGGCCGCAACCGCCGAAAAACCAAACAAGAAGAAGAAGGACACGACACATTTGGTTGCGTTTCAGATATGAAAGAAGACGAAAGACATTATGAGGAACAGTTTCGAAGAAGAAAGAAAGTGAATGTTGACAGAAGAAGAAAGACAATTGTGAGATCTCTCTCAACAACAACAAACTGAGGAGGAGGAAAATAGAGAGAGCTCACAATGTCTTCTTCTTCTTTCACAATCACTTCTTTCCTTCTTCCGATAACTTTTCCTCATAAGTCTTTCTTCTTCTTTCATATCTGACCGCACCCAAATGTGTCCGGTCCTTCTTCTTCTTGTTTGTTTTTCCGGCGGTTGGGCGGCCCTATTCTTCGCATTACCTGCCACCTTCTGTTTTCGTGGATGGGACAACACTCTTTTGTGAAAAAGTCTGCGGTCTTTTCTTTGCCTCCTCGCAGGCAGGAGGATTCTTCCTTCGAGAAGTTCCTGTAGCTGCTGCAGCCGTTGCTGCCCCCTGCGACCCGGCAGTGAGAGGGGAGACGCTGATGATGATGATGATGATCTCGGTTGTGGTTTGTGGCAGGACGATTTTTGGCCATATGAAACAGAATAAGTTTCTCGGAAAAAACAGACATCAAGAAACAAAAAAAAGTGTTTTAATTACCATACCAAACCAATGATTTATTTACACACTCAAAATAAACCTATGTAATAATTACTATTAACATTTTAACATTAAATTCTGAAAACCAAATCTGCATTTCCTACTACTATCCTAAGCCCTATTTTTCCAAAAGTATAATGCTCTCTACAGATCAATTCTAACTTTTATATCACAAAATGTAGGAAAAAAAAACTTGTCTAGACGCCTTGGAGATAAAAAATAAAATAATGCCTCTTTATAAAACTAAACTCAAAGTTTCTGTGATCCTATGACTCCATGTCCCAGTAACATTATCGTGTGTACGAATGTAATTTTCTAACAAAAAATTCTTCTTTCACGAGAGAGAGAGAAGAGAGAGAGATGGGAAGACAGAGGACAGAACGAGGGTGGGGAGGGGCCTCCCGAACAAAGGAAGCAAGGAGTCAAATACTTTCCCTCGTTTTTTCTTCGTGACAAGGTTCTAAACACAGTGGTCAAAGTTTTTCTCACGTCTAACGACACTTTACATTT